AAGGGGCCAATATTTAAATCCGTTGTAACAAGAAATCCGCTGTGGCGAGGTCCGCTGTGACGAGGTTTGACTGTAGAATGTTAATCATTACAGTATTTGGAAATTCCAAATTTGGAAATCTCCCTGACTGTAATAAAGGCTATAAAGAATATCCTTCATAGAAATTTTACTTTCCTGCAATTTGTTGATCAGTGGACAAGAACATTATTATTTGGGGACACTGGTTCATGACTTCTTGCCTGTTGCATATGGCCTTCCTTTATATAAGGAAATAAAACGAAATTATGGCACATATATTACCATAGTATCAGAAGATACGGAAATAAAGAACTTCGATGAATACATGTAAGAAATTTAAAGATAAAAGTAACTTTATGAAATAATAATAACATTTTTTTGTTTTTATTAGCTATAGTAATATTGAAACTTTGAAGGAAGCATATGCAGCCATATCAAGTTCGCAATATTTAATACATTCTAAGCATGAACCAAAATTAAAAACCGCCAGAAAACATAATGATAAGGGGATCTTATTCATTTTATTCTGTTCAATTAACGCCAGTATGTCATAAACGTTTACCAAATGAACATGAATTATGTGAAGCTATTCCAGTAATATTAACACGTCTTCAGAACCAAGCCATACCAAACAACAACACTTATATTTTGACATCTTGGACTGCCAAAAAAAAATCAATAATATTATTATTATTTTGTTTTGTGTTTTTTTTTTTTTAACACGTCTTTTATCTTTTTTAAAAATTACAATGCCAAAAGAAATCATGAAGAAAATCAAAGTAGGTCGTCAAGTAAGTCTTTATCATAAGAATGGTGGTGGTTACCGCAACTCGTCATCACTCCAGTTATATAAATTCAAAATGCCCGAACTTAGCAACTTGTCATTCTAGCTTACTAATTAAGACTTCAATTTCTTTCTGACATAATAAATAAAATTAGGAATGTGGATACTGATTATGTAAAAAAATCATATTCATTTGAAAATGTTAATAATTGTTTCAAAAAATGAATTTAAACTTCTTTATAGGATGTTGTTGGAATATTTACACACCTTCGGGACCCACAAAAACCTGTAACTGTAAGGAGGTGTGACCTTATTATTATGGAGGTTGATGGTTTTAATCCCGCAATGCCGATCTCACGTGACATCAATTATATTATAAAGACAACATAATAACAACTTTTCTTTAAAAGAATTATTTTTTACAAAGTTATCAAGTGAAGTTTCTCTGGCATTATTAAAAATTTTCTTTCTTAAATAATTGAATATTTTTTTAAATTTTCGGATCTTCTGAATTAAAATAATTAGCATACTTGTGCTTCCTTATCATTGATTTGAGGCAGCTCTTCATCACTATCTGAATTCATGTCATGTTTCTCTGGTTCATCATTATTGCAGTCGGAACTCGTTAAACCGATGTACTTGTTTTGGGCTCAAAACATCGTTTTATCAAATATTCGTAATCTTTGATAAGACAAAGTTAAAAAAAAATTCGGTTTAAAAAAGTTATACATCAAAGTTTACATATCAGTCAGACAGGATTTCACGCGATCGACATGTCTACTGTCATAGCTATGTAAAATTTTTGTGAAACATGTCAA